AATATCATTTGAAGTTTTGAATGCATATGTCTGCATGTCGGGAAAAGCCTCAAATATCCAAATCTACAAACAATATAATACACAAACATTAGTAATTGTTAAAATAATTAATTATAATTTTGGAAACATTATATAGAAATTCTTACCTTAAAGGCCCAAATAAAACCTGACAAAGTGTATTTGGAACCATCGCCACGCAAACTTTTGGGTCATCAAAGGCAGACGACAACTTATTCCAAGTAGCTTTCCATAGATATGAACCCCACGGAAATATGTTTCATGCATTTAGGTCCTCTACCAATAATATTAGGTCCTTAGGAATAGGTTGTCTATCCTCTCTGCCTAAAAAACCGGCATGCAAAAGTACTAAAAGGCATACTCGGACAACATCGACGTCATCCATTCGAGTAAAACTATCTTTCTTATTAAATAATCTCGTCAAGTCGTCGACGTGTAAATTCGGCTTCTCCATTGACAGCTCAGGAAAAACCCGGGATAACCATGATGGGCGGGTAATATGACTAGTGTATCGACCTACATCATCGTGTCCGAAGCGTAGACCAGTGATTAAGCAAAACTCCTCTCGCCCAAAACACGTATACGCCGGTGGAAAATGAAACCATATCTCTTCATTACTATGTTCTATACTCTCGGGTAGATCGCGTGTCACAGTCTGAAGCCACAAATAGGTCAACATAGCATCTCCACCCGGATGTTGTACTTTCAGCCATGGCCCGAAGCAAGTATCCTCAAACAATTGTCTTCGTACAGGTGAAAGCTTCGACGCAATTGTAGTGACTAGGCTTATTTTATTCCTTAAGGTCAATTGAGCCGAAAAAAAGTTATACAAAAACAATAAACATACCAAGTTAGATATACCAAAAACTACACTGTGAAGATATACAAAAAACAATAATAAACATAAAGCGTAGTAGTTTATTCTTCAAACTTAATTTTGCAACACTATGAATTTCGTATTTGTCTTTATTTTTTTGTTGAAGTAATGCAATTCATTCAAGTTTCAATTTGCAGAAGAAGAATAGTTTCTGAAACTTAAAATCGTAACACGAAAATGAAAATCGCAACACGAAAATGATTATCGCAACGCGAATTTTTTCGTTGCGATTTTCATTTCGCGTTGCGATACTCAGTTTCAAATGGTCATTGTCTAAAATTGAAACTTGAATGAATTGCATTACTTCAACCAAAAAGACAAAACAAAGACAAATACTAACTTCACAGGGTTAAAGACTAAACAGTAGCAGTATTGGCAGCAATCTATTATTGAAATTACCAGTAAACTTATCATTAATTTCAATATGAAAAACTTAGTAATAATGCAAAATTTTCAAAATAAAAATAATTAAAAAAAATAATCATCGGTGGTTGATTTGGTTGATTTTCTATTTCTGATCGTGAATGATTGTGAGGGTGGCTCTGAGAGATGGAGATAGACGGATTTCGCCGGAAATGGGGACGGGTTTCGTCGGAGATGGGGACGGATGTCGCCGTAGAGAGTGAGAGATGGAGATGGGACTGAGTTGTGATTTAGGGTTTTAGGTTAAAAGTTACGATTACGGGTAAATATTCGTGTTTGGAATTTGAAAATAAAATACGCGTTGCGATAATAATGGCGCTTTGAAAATCGCATTGCGATTTTATATTATCGTAACGAGATAGTCATAATCTCGTTGCGATAGTCAGAATCGCGTTGCGATCACGTATTATCGCGTTACGATAGTCAGAATCACATTGCGATCACGTGTTATCGCGTTGCGATTTATATATTCGCATTGCGATTATCTAAAATCGCAACGCGGATTTCGAAAATCGTAATGCGATGGTCAAAATCGCGTTACGAATCTGTAAACTGAATTGCGATAATGGAGATCGCGTTGCGATTTAGAGATCGCATTACGATTTTGTTGGTCATTTTGACAAATCGTAAAAAAGTTGGTTAAAATCGTATATTATAAAGAATTTTCGGTCACTGAGATTATTTTCTCTAAAAATTAATTTATTTTAAATCATCGATGATAGTTTGAAATTTGAATGTTTAGCCTTTAGGTTGCTGAACCCAATTGAGTCGTTTCTGTTTTTTTTTAATATTTTATGTTTACATAAATATATATTTGTTATATGTTATCAATAATTAATAATTAATAATAAATATATATTATTTTATAATAATTTAAATTAATAATTAAAAAAATGTCTCAAACATTAAACGCATATCCACATCTTAATTAAGGCGAATAAATTCTAATCTTAGAATTTAAATATCTTTTATTTACTATTTATTTTTAAATATGCTTATTTTAAAATTTTATTTATATTTATCTACATATAATTTTTTTGTAAATTATATATATATCAACAATATTTTGTGAATTTGTCATCGATACAATATTGACATCTTTTGTTCACTCAAATAATAAATTAAAAATAAAAGAGTGATATGATAATCATATGTATTGATGTGATATGTTTTTATTAATACATAATCGATATGTCAATTACATTATTTTTCTTTTCTTTTATATTATTTTTTTTAAAGATAAAAATTTTACAATTTTATTTATGTCACGTTGGTGTTGTAATTACTATTTTTTGATGTCTCTTCAACCATTTAAGATATGAATGAATTCATTTCATTGTCTTATATATTGACTAGTCCACATAATTTTTTTGAATTGGACGAACACAAATAAAATTTAAAGGTGGACATCATCAATAAAATATGTAATTAACCAAAGAAAATTCAAATTTCAAGGTGGGTATATGTCTACCCTTGGAAAGCTGTAAATCCACCACTGATCATCTACTGCTCTATTAGTTTAGATTTTATATAAATTACTTTAAAACTCATAAAATTCAACCCTAAATTCAAAACTCCTAAACTCTAAACCACTTTGATAAATAATATCCACCATTCAATTAGAGTGGAATCAATATATACATAATTCTAAATTTGAACTCTTTTATCATAATTAAAAATATCATGTTACTATTTTGATATTATAAAAATAATATTTATAATTTATCTATAAACATAGTTTTTATATATAAGTACTAGTATATGTAAAATATAAATATTTGCAACATGTATAAATATTATTAATTTCAACCTAGTAGTTAGGTACGACCTAGGTGTGTATTAATACACGTGGAAATAAAAATAATAATAAGGGTTGTTGGGGGAAAATTGCCCAGTATTATGGTGAAAAAAAAGTTCTCCACGTAATGCACCAAAGTAATTATTTACTGAGATGGGTGACATGAACAGTATCAATATGAATACGTTAAGAGGTGTTTGGTTCAAGAATTGTGAGATTCTCATGGGATGAAAATTTCACATTCCCATATTTGGTTGGTCGGGAATCTCATTTCCGGTAATGTTTTATTACCAATAGTAGATTTTTTGGAGTATATTACCGAGAATATCATTACCTCCCTTCCCTTAGGTATTGTAACATTACCGGCGTTTTGGACTAAAATGCTCTTAAATTTTTATTTTTTTCAAAAATATCATTATTCTGTCATTGAATAATAAAAATTCTACGAAAATTAAATTACAAATTTATCCTTAAATTATTTTAGATTTACAAAAAAAATCTATAATTAAAATTTTATATGAAGTTTAGGGATTAAAAAAAATTTATCATTTCATTAAACCTTTTTTATATTTTTAATTTTGTAAAAAAAATATATAAATATTATGAATTTAATTTTTTAAAGAAAATATATAAATATTTTATAATTTGTAATATTATACAAATATATAATAAGGATAATTTGATCAAATATACATTCTAATAATATTTTATTTCTTTAACCAAACACAGTAATCTTACATTCCTGCTAAACCAACCAAACACAAAATACAACATTCTCAGTAATCCTATTCCCTGGAAATCTTTTATTTCTATTGGTAATCTTATATTTCGCGAACCAAACGCATCCCAAGAGTATACGACATCTTTCGTATATTCCAAAAAATGCAAAGATGATAAGACATCTTCTGCATACTTTTGTATGGTTGATCTTTTTTGTTGTTTTATCTTCCTGTAGAAGATGTTGTATCGTCACATCATCTTTACGAAAATGTTAATTAATCCAAGAAGATGTCAATTAATCCAAACGGTTTTCCAATAATATTGTAACAAGAATTCGAGGACTTATTGTGTGATAATTTTAATATACGATTAAATAAAAACGTTATTAATTTTATAATTATTTTTAATAAAATCGGTAAAAAATATTTAAAATATTATTATTTTTATCTAAAATATTAATATTTTTTAATATTTTTGGTAAAATGTTCAATAATAATAAAACTGGTAGCAATTTACCAAATATGTTAACTGTAAAGTACCCAAGAATAACAAAATTTGTATAAATAATAATGTTTTTGATAATTTTTACCGATTTTATTAAAAAAATAATAACAAAATCGATAATATATTTCTTTAATTGTATATTAAGGGTGAGAGTTGTAAGAATCCGTTTGAGAAAATAATGTTGGGTGCCTTAGCTGGGGATATTTTTTTCCCCAGTGCAATATCAAAATAGCCGGGTTGTTGGCCTTTATTACAGCAGCAACACTATTAGTTTATTGTTGCGTAAAACATGGATCCGGCCGGAGCACCTAACGAACAAATATTTGTTACATAGGGATGACAAAGAAAAGCCTTAAAATAAAAATATCAAATGATATATTAACTAAAAATTATTTATTAAACCATCATTTCTCACATATTTATTAGGCTATATTTATAAAGCTGTCACAGTTCGATTTAAACAATATCATGTTATTTATGATCTCAATCAATTAAAATTATTTATTTTATTATTTTTCAACTATATATAGAAGAAAAAAACAAAGTAAATAGTTTTTATTAATCGAGATAATGAATAACGCGATGAAACATATTTGAATAATATTTTTCGCCAAGACTATCAAAAGATGAATTCTGAAAGATTCTGAGCCTCAACACGGAAAAATTCCTAAGTGCAGTCGCCGTCGGTTGCTACTCATGTACATGCATGGAAGAGAAGGGTTTATTTTTAAGGCGAACCTGTCCAGAACCTCATCATAACACTGTGTTCGCTGATGCTGCCCCGAGATAATCTTTGCATCTTTCGCCAAAATTGACTGCCTCTCCCCGCTCTCAACGGACCTGAACCACAGTGCCTCCTAAACGACTCGGATGATTGCCTCCCGAATCCTGTTGACGAACTGAACAAATCCGGCACCGATAGTCCTCTCTCGGTATCTAGACCCGAGACATCAGAGTTGGGAGTGGAATAAGAGTCTGTACCAACTTTTCCATCCATATCAATGGACAGATCATCTTGACTGGAACCTCTTGAACATACTTCTCTTGCCTCGTCACATTCATTACATACTAATTTTAAAGCCTGAACAACCTCGCCCATGAAAGGTCGGTGCGATACCTCCGGTTGGACACACATAGAAGCGATCGCTGCTACCTTTGCCACACTCTCCAAAGGTACATCCGAACCTAGCGATGGATCGATAATTGTTTGTAATCCTTCTTTGGTTGCTAGAAGCGGACGTGCCCATGCAACTAGATTCTCCTGGCCGGGCGGCTGTGTCATATCTACCGGTTTTCTTCCCGTCAGAAGCTCGAGAAGCACTACACCATAGCTGTAAACATCGCTCTTCACAAGAAGATGGCCAGTCATTGCATACTCGGGAGCCACGTATCTGGACCAACGATTCATCACATGTAAAACAACAAATTACAAATAGAAATTAACAAAAAAATAAAAATAAAAAAATCATAGAACCAATATAGTAGAGAGATTTTGTACCCGAAAGTTCCCATGACACGGGTCGATATGTGCCTGCCTTCCTCATCCATGGCAGTTCTAGCCAAACCAAAGTCGGATACCTTAGGCGTGAAATCATGCTCCAACAAGATGTTGCCAGACTTAAAATCACGGTGTATGACTCGAGGGCTCGAATCTTCATGGAGATAAGCCAGTCCACGAGCAGAACCGAGGGCTATCTTTATGCGGTAATCCCACTCGAGTGATGCGGATTTCTTGTCAACTCCTGAAAACAAACAAAACAGAGGAACATATAACCATTTCCCGTGGAATGGAACACTAGGAATGCTTAAATAGCACACAATTTAACTACCACGCAAGTGCGATTCGACGCTGCCATTTGGAACGAGTTCATAAACCAAACAGCGGTTGCGCTCTTCTGTGCATATTCCGATCAACTTCACCAAATTTCTGTGGTGAAGGCGACTAAGCATCTCTACCTCGGCCAAGAATTCCCTACCACCTTGTTGATCATCTCTCTTCAGAACTTTGACTGCCACTTTAGTTCCATCTTCAATAACACCGCTGTAAACACGACCAAATCCACCTTCCCCGAGTACTCTTGAATCATCAAAATTGTCAGTGGCTCTTTCCATGTCACTTGCAGTAAAGGTCTTAGCGGATCCTGTATAGGCTGCAATGCTAGAACCGAATGAAAGTGATGTGGAACTTAGACAGCTTCCAACCATGAACCCAGCCGAACCTGAAATTTCAACGACATTTTACCGAGTCATTCATGGATCGGAGAACGAATAAGCCAGAACATATTTAGCTAATTATAACCTGATGGTTTGGCATGAGATGTTAGCGGATGCTGCAGACTTGTCAATTGGTTACTAGCTTGATCCCTATGTTTGAAAAGCAAAACCCATGCAAGGGCCGAACATAACACGACGACCACCAAAACCGACAGAATGATTATAGCAATCACGTCCCCTCTAAGCACATTCTTTTGCTGCTTCCCATGCACATCAACACCCAGGGGTTTTGTAGCCCTTGCATTGTTGTTGTTACCCGAATATGGTCCGACATCAATCATACCAGCATCGGATGGCAAAGGTGGAGAAGGAGGCAAACCAAGATAGTGGAAATATAATACTTCATAATCCCCAAATAATGAAGTTTTTATAGCAACTTGTTTATGCCAAAATCTGTGATAAGTTATAAACGCTGTCGTGTCATCGAATTTTTCATCGAGTGGTACCAAGTCAATAAGGACAACTGTCTTCTCTGGTTTCACGCTAGCGGCATTAGCACCCATGATGCGAACTTGACTTGGTTTCATAAAAACACCAGAAGCAATTTCTCTGGCCAACTTGGCAACCAAAGGAAAGAAAGTATATAGGGCAACACTTAAGCGTAATCCGACTTGCATCGGCAAGACACAGCCACAAGGTGATCCAGGAGGCGTATTTGTATAAGGATCCGTGCAAATAGTTGTTGAACAATCTACATACAGAGTCAAACATTCGTAAAATACAAAATATCTTTGGAAATGAAAATAGAGAGGACACTGGAAAACTTGAAATGTGGAGCAAAGAACCTAGTCTTTAACCTTCATTTGGAGGCGGAGGTGGAAATGACATAACTCGTGGCAGTGGCGGTGGTGCTAGGTTGGGACTCGTCGACGGAGAGATGGATGGAGAAACTTTTGGGGAAATAAGAGGCTCTATGCAAAAGAAACAAATCATGAAAAGTCGGAAAAATATAGAAAATGAGGGTACATCACAAACATATATTCAACAAATTAAGTTTTTATTCTTACTTCGTGTCTGCCTAGGCGCAGTCACAGGAGATGGCGAAGGAACAGGAGAAACAGTGCTTCTTGGCGGAGGAATGAAGGAATGGGACGGGGACACTGAAGAATCAGTAATGTGGAAAGATGTTAGAAATCAGTAATGTGACAACCCTATATAATGTTACTATGGCAGTGGCATAAGATACTAGACCTTGTTCCAAAGGAGGAGGTGAAATCGGGTCTGATGATGTTGGAGCAGGACTGGTTCTTTCATTTCTTTTATGTTGATGCTTACGAAACGAGGTTGAAGGAGACAACGCTGAAGAATTATGATGCCCTTCGTCCGAAGGAGCAAGGGACGGTACAAGAGAATTACTAGGTTTCCTCCTGGCTGTCAATGTAGAAGGAGATATGGCTGGGGAAGAACCTGGAGAATTATCACCAGAACCACTGTTGGTAATAATAATCAAGTCATAAATTAGCTCGATATTTGCAGATTCACGATACATACCATTTTTAGCAGAATGGTTCACAGGTGGCACTGGCTTGTGTACCCCATCCGAAGGTGACATAACAGGTGCTCCATCATTGCTTGAGGGTGGATTTGAAACAGGAGAGATATCAGGATCTGCAGCAATATAATTAAAAAGTGAGGAGAGTATATAGATATGGAAAATTAATCATCGGTTCAACTTCGAAGAATTGATATAATCTTCCAAGTAGAACCTGGTAATGGAGACGGATTTCCTACTGGCACATTCCGGTGGACAGTTGGTGAACTATGAGGTGATTCTCCAGGCAGCGGTTTAACTGGAACAGAATTATAAAACAGGATAAGCAACTCTTAACAGTCTCCTTGATTGAAATTTCGTAGAAAAATATAAACTAGGCTTACCAGGTAAAAGAGGACACATTAAGCCATGAATTACGTACCTGGAGTGGGGGGCTCGGGAATCGGAGCATGTGGTGGTAAAGCAGTTGGCCCACGGGAGTGAACCGGCATATGGTTTCGTGGTGAATTTCTGGAAGGTGTTGCAACTGGAGCTATAAAATAGAGTACAACCAACAATGTTAGAAGCTATCATAGTGCTAAATCTATCGACAAATGCCACATCAAACTAATACTTATCTACCTGGAGCAATCGGCTCTATAATAGGTGCCCTTCTATTTGATGAATTTTCTTGTTTAGCACTTGGGGTTGGGGCCAAAGCTCTTGGCATACTTGAGTGCAAGGGTGGGGAACTTTGTGGTGAATTCCTCGATTGTGATGCAACCGGAGCTACAAGATAGAGAGTAAAAAGAAGCATCGTCAGAACCGAACTCAGTTTTAAATCTATCAGGAAATGGCATGTCAATGATCAAATTCCTGATTATACCTGGAGCACTTGGCTCCGGAACAGGCGCCTTATAGTTAGATGAACTTCTTTCATGGTCAGTTGGGGGGAAAGCACTTGACCTACTGGTGTTTATGGCCGGGGAATTTTGTGGAGAATTACTCAACGGTGGTGCAATTGGAGCTGCAAATTTGGGTTTTTTTTTGTTTGGGGGGGGGGGGGGGAGCAAGCTGTATTAGAAAAAAACCCGACCTGCAGTCTACTTATTTAAGTAATGCCTTTTGCATAATATCCGGCTTACTTTGATGGACAACAGGTGAAATTTCTGGAGAATTTTGTGACGGAGTGAATGATGGTACTGCAAGTTGGAAAAAGTGCAATTAGGACCATACTGAACTTCAAATTAACCAAACTATTTGATGCATTCCTTTGATTAGCAAGCATACATGGGAGTATATCTGGTGAATTTCGAGGCAAAGTCCTTGAAGGAAACGCAACTGGAGCTGTATATTGAAGTAAAAAGAGAAGCATTAGAGCCAATGCCGATTTACATTAACTTGAAGATCAATGGAATTGCTTTTAGTCGTGTACCTGGAGCATCTGGCAACGAGACAGGAGACTTACTAACTGGTTCCTTTTCCCGAGGAGCAGTTGGTGACTTCAATGGTGTGCGTACTCGAACAAGCGGAGGTGGAGGAGATGGTGGCAACACCACTGGAGTATTTGGTGCCAAGGATGGTGCACGTTCTTCAATAGTGAATGGTGGCGGAGGTGGAAGATACGGTGGCAACACCAATGGAGTACTTGGTGCCAAGGGTGGAACATTTTCTTCAATAGGTAATGGTGGTGAAGCTGTATTTTGCGGCGTTAGTTCCATCGGATTAATTGGCGACAAGGAATGTGCTTGCCCTTCAGTCGTTTCAGGCACCGGGGCAGGCATTAGTTGTGATGATGCAGGAGGAGAATTTAAATCAGACTCTGGATTGTCAAGACAGAAACTTCAATCAAAAGTCTAGAACAAGAACATATGATGCTGGGAAATGGAAGTTACCGTTCGGCTGAGGTGGCATACTTGGTGTGAATCTTCTTTGTTCAACAGCATCGGGGACTCCTTTGGCGGGCGGAAAACCAGAAAACTCTGCTGGAGATGGGGATGCATTATGACCTAAAACAAGCGAAAAATATGAATATATTCGATTAAGTTAACACCAAATTGCACTTACCATGCAACAATTGGTTTTCACTTATGATATCAAATAGGTTATCATCCATGAACTATAAAATCGATAATGTCAAAAGAACTTGATTTCTGTTGAAGAATCGGGAAAAGTAAACGAAAGAACACAAGAATTTTAACGAGGTTCGGCAATGTGCTTACGTCCTCGGTGCCTAGACGGCGCTAGAAATTTTATTCAATGTCTCACTCCGCTCCATCCCCTGTCCTCTTTATTGGTATATTTATGAGTCATACCTATCAATTTCACATGTCAATGGAGCAAAGATCTTTGCTGTCAATTATGCTATAAAAAGCATTTCTTAGATAAAACCTCCATGAAAACTACTCTTAACAATGCCTTCTAGTCTCTGGTTAGGCAAATTGACATTCATTCAATGAGATGATGAATTATGAAGACACATGATGATGGTGAATCAAAATTCAGTGGATCTAAAACAGTGGAAAATGGATGTTAACACTGAAGAGCAGCTTCTACCTAAAATTTTTGCAGACAAAATTCAACAAAGAAATTGACATGATAACAATTCAACAGCATTGAGCAAGAACTGGGGGAAAAAGATAGAATTTTTACCTGAAGATCCCTGAACAATCAAAGCAAAGCCAATGATGCAGAGTTTGGCAAGCTGAAGAATCAGTGGCATCCCCATCCCATAAAGCACCAAATTTCACAAAATCTCTAAACCAAGCTCCCTCAATGATGATGGTGAAGAACACACACACAAACAGTGCAAAACAAGCAAAGATTAATTTTTTAATCTGTATTTGATAAATCCAAGATTTGGATTTGGTGAAAACAAAGAAGCAAATTAGCAAATCAATTTCTTCTCTTTCCCCCTCGAGAGCAAGAGAAGCTCTCAACTTCACAAAGTTTCTGTTTTTTTTTTTTTTGCTACCATAAGTTGCTAGAACACAAACTGACACACACACACACAAAACAAAACAAAAACAAGCAATTGAATGAAAACAAGACACAAAGACACCTCACAGGGTCACAGTGCCAAGTAACAGACAACCTTTCCTTCAAGAGAGATGGGAGAATATATATATATATATATATATATATATATATATATATATAATATTTGGACAGTTTGTTGGATGTTAAGCATGTGAGAGAGAGAGAAAGAATGGGAAAAGGAAATCAGAAACTTTGGTTTTAATATTAGTAAATGGTAGCTTAGTGAGGAAAGTTAGCTTTAAAGAGGGTGTTTTTAATGGGGTTTGAACCAACTTTAGTTACCTTCTTGGGATTGAAATTCATAAAGTGTTGTTTAATGGGTTTAAACCGATTTTCCCGGTTGATCTTTGTTAGCCAGTAAGAGAAAATGACTCCCATTGAAAGTGAGAGACTTCGGCATGTGCCCAATTTCTCTTTTGACGCATCAACCAAATCTTATCCTTCTTCCTAATTCTCTTGATGATATTAGGAGAGAAGAAGGCCCCACCATGGAAGGAAAACAAGTTCAAAAGCATTCATTTTTGGTGGCTCATTGCCATTTGCCATCATCAAAGTGCTTAAAAGTTCATTAATTTATGGGCAAAATAAATTCCACGTCACTTAATTATTAACTAATTATTTTTCTAAAATTATAATTTAATTATTTAATTAAATTATTATTATAAATAAGTATAATAATAATTTTATTCTTAAAATTTATAAATTCTTTTAATTTGATTTTGATTTAAAATAATATGATAACTTTAACCTTTTATATTTTAAAAATTATCAATGTAATCTTTATTCTCCTAAATTATTTGTTATTCTCTAAAAAATATTAGACTAATTTTCTGATATAATGACAGTTTAATAATAATTTATTGTTGCTTTCTGATAGAATGCAACTATTGAAAATGAAGAAGTTGTCAATTTACATGCCATTTTCATGGCAATCAAGAAGTTGATAACATTGCATTAAGCCATCTTCAAAACAGGAATGAGAAAATTCCACTTTTGTGGATATTATTTTTTTGTGATATTTTTTTAATACACCAACAGTTTTTTTTAACTATCACAATTATGTTTTAGGCCAGCAATTGAAACGAGAGATTCTAAACCTTAAAACATATAATAAAATAAAGAGAAAATAACTTCAGTAACAAAAAATGTCTTATAATATACGAATTTAACAACTTTTTTTGGATTTGCCAAAATGACCAACAAATTCGCAACGCGAATTCCAATTTCGCAACTTAGTTTCCAAATTCGCAACGCGATAGTCAAATTCGCAAAGCGAAAGTCAAATGTTTTTACGCGAAACACAATATTAATTTCGCAACACAAATGTAAACAGTATTATCACAAATCATCTCTAACCTAAAACCCTAAAGCACAACTCAATCTCATTTCCATCTCTCACTCTCTACGGCAACATCCGTCCCCATCTCCGACGAAATCCGTCCATCTCCATCTCTCAGAGCAACCCTCACAACCATTCACGGTCAGAAATGGAAAATCAACCACTGAGGGTTAATTTTTTTTTAATTATTTTTATTTTAAAATTTTTGTATTATTATTAGATTAACCATTTCACTGAGATTGCTAAATTCATTCGGTTGCTGCCAATACTGCTAAACTGTTTAGTCTTTAACACTGTGAAGTTAGTATTTGTCTTTGTTTTGTCTTTTTGTTGAAGTAACCCTAAATCGCAACACCAAATTCACAACGTGAAAATGAAAATCGCAACGCGAAACTAAAATCGTGTTACGATTTTCACGATTTTCATTTTCGCGTTGCGAATTTAAGTTTCAGAAACTTTTTTTATTCTGTAAATTGAAACTTGAATGAATTGCATTACTTCAACCAAAAAACAAAGACAAATACTAACTTCACAGTGTTGCTAATTTAAGTTTCAAGAATAAACTACTACTCTTTATGTTGTCCTTGAACCTGCACTAAACCTATATGTTGTCCTTTTAAATGTTTATATAAGTGCTTACTTCTGGAATGTTTTCTGATGCATTTTGTGAACTATGATGGAATAATGACTTGGGTGAATATCGTGCTAGTTTGAAACATATTTGGCTTTGTTTTCACAGTTTAATATCATGTCTGTTTATAGTGTATAATTTGTAGTTTTTGGTATATCTAACTTGGTATGTTTATTGTTTTTTGTAGAAATTTTTTCCGGCTGCATTGACCTTAAGGAATAAATTAAGCATAGCCACTAAAATTGCGTCGACGCTTACACATCTACAAAGAAAATTGTTTGAGGATATTTGCTTCGGGCCATGGTTGAAAGTGCAACATACGGGTGAAGATGTTATGTTGACACATTTGTTTCTTCAGACCATGACTAACGATCTACCCGAGGGGGTACAATGTGGTGATGAGGAGATATGGTTTCATTTTCCTCCGGCACCGGCGTATACTTGTTTTGGGCGGGAGGAGTTTTGCTTAATCACCGGTCTACGCTTCGGACACGATGATGTAGGTCGGTACACTAGTCATATCTCCCGCCCATAATGGTTATATCGGGTTTTTCCTGAGCTAGCAAAGTCGAAGCCGAGTATACACGTCGACAACTTGAAGAGATTATTTGATAAAGATAGTTTTACTCGGATGGATGACCTTGATGTTGTCCGAGTATGTCATTTATTACTTTTGCATGCCGGCTTTTTAGGCAAAGAGGGCAGACAACCAATCTCCGAGGACCTAATATTATTGGTAGAGGACCTAAATGCATGAAACATGTTTCCGTGGGGTTCATATCTATGGAAAGCTACCTAGAAGAAGTTGTCGTCTGCCTTTGAGGACCGAAAAACTTTGCGGGGCGATGGTTCTAAATATACTTTGACAGGCTTTATTTGGGCCTTTAAGGTAAGAATTTATATATTATAATGTTTCCAAAATTATAATTAATTATTTAACAATTACTAATGTTTGTGTATTATATTATTTGTAGATTTGGATATTTGAGGCTTTCCCCAGTATGCGGACATATGTGATAAAAAGATCAAATGGTATTCCTAGGGCTATTACCTGGAAGAGGATCGGCATGTTGGATTGGGAAGAGTTACTCCCATATACGACGATGAATGATGTAAGTTAACACACAAATAATACCATATAAACAAATTATTACTAGTACAAGTTTAACTTTGTTTGAGCTTTTATATTGTTAGGTGGCCAACTATCCATTACAAAGGCTGACACCCACAGAGGCTGAGCTTGCCACTGATTGGTGGCAACCTAGTAAGCGGTTTTTTGATGGGACGGATGATGAGCACCCCCCACCTCGAGAGCCATCACATGATCGGGCCGATTCTACAGCTTGACACCCGGAGCCATCACCTGATCAAGCCTCTTCTCCATCTCCACCATCACCTCATGATAGGCGACCGGCAAAGAGGCCACGACATTTATCTCCCTGTTCTCCACCTCCACGGGATGAGTTAGGGGAATTACGTCATGAGGTCGGTGCTTTACGTCATGAGGTCGGTACTTTACGTGAAGATAATGGTGCATGACATGATGAGGTTCGATCTTTACGTGGTGAGGTGGATTTTTTACACGATGACAATGGTGCGCTACGCGGTGGGGTGTCTACCTTACGTGATGAGGTTGTCGCTCTACGCGAGATTGTTTCATTGTTGCAGAATGAGGTTAATACTCTACGCAATGAGGTAAATTTGTTTAATACTATACAAAAAATGCAAATAACTTTTTTTCGGCATTATTTATTTATTTATTGATTTATATATTAATTTATTTTCAACGGCCCGATAAGGTAGATGCTTTACGTTGGATTTTTCTTACACGACGGGGTTCACGCATCATACGTCGTGTACGTGCCATTACGTCTTTGTTCACCCCACTAGTGCCAAAACTCCGTAAGAATAAACCCGATGCACATATCATCATTCAAGAGCCGCTTCTTATCGTTCAAGAGGCCCCTCTCATCATCGAAGAAGCCTCTCCCATCGTTTAAGAGGCCCCTGTCATCGTTCAAGTGGTCCCGCCCGCCGTTCAAGAGCCCGATTCACATGGCGTCATATGTCGACATATTGATAAACCCCCTCCCATGCCCGATATGATAGATGCGAGTTGGCTTTCGTATGTGTTATCGGCCAGTACCATTCCTCAGGAGGAGAGGAAAACACTACCGGAAACAATTACGGATAATACCCTTTGGGCTAAGACCGCAGTTGATTTTTATCTACATGAGCGGAGCAAGGGGTGTTATTCTGACCTATGCCAAATCGACGATGCATATCATTTGTTTCTTGATCGGTCTTGGTGGGATATTTTATTAGGGGTTAAAGATAATGACTATCTCGAAGGGGTGGTAAGTCTTATATTCTTCTTATATTGCATTTTGATTAAATTTTTTTAAATTTATTAATAAATTCACTAATATATGTATTTTTTTTATAAAACATCATATTGATGCATGGGTGTCACGTCTTCTAATAATAAGGAAATTGAAGAAAATAAAAAATACTCGATGGACTATTATACCGACGTCTTTTCACGCAGCTCACTTGAAGGATCAGAGAGATGCTTCATATAAGTTGGCTAATGGAAAAACTAAACTTTATCCTGCGTGGTGGGAGGTCGATCAGGTTAGTATTTATTTTTTTGAATATTTTAAAGGTTTTCATAAATTTTATTTGATGTGCGCAATTATTTATGATTGCATGTATTTATCCTTATTTTGGAACG